AGCGCCTGGGGCTTGGCTATACATAAATTTGCGCGGCTTATCGCTGTAAGCGCAAACACAGGTCTCGTCACTGTCTTCGCATTTGCGCTGGTAAATCCTCCATCTAAAGATGGTAGCGATGAGCTGGAGAATGAACCCGATTTCACGGACTACGATCAAACCTGGTTGGACGTTAGGGGTAATGAGCAATTTGCGCAATTGCAACGACTCATGCCGGACAAGCATCGGACAAGAAACATCAAGCTTACTTACACTGGGCACTTTTCAAACATACCGTCTGTCGGGTTCTATAACTGCGATCTTGATCCCAATGGAACCTGGATGGTCAGTACTGACATTGACAACAAGCTTCTTGTGTGGAAAATCTGGGAAAGCCTGGGCCCATTCAACGTCTATCACTTCAACGAATCTACCGTTAGGTCGTTTCCCGAGACTTTGCGTAATGAGTAAGAGACAGATATCCTTGATATTGAATGACAACTTATGCTAATTTAAACAGCACTGAAAGAGGCTGGGCCGTCCTCGCCCTTGACCCACGCACCTTTCAGCCAGTCAAGTCTACAGAAGAGGCCTTTGGCGGCCAGCCGTTGCGTCGCAAGAAGCGCCGCCAGGTCGTTCTCGACATTACGAGATTGAGCAATCGTATACCAGATGCTTCACATCTTTACAACTACTTTCCTCCCGCAGTCAGGTCTGAGCCTGATCAATCAGTTTTGCCTGACATCTTTGGAGCGGACTGTCGCATCAGTAATGACCCTCATAAACAGGCCTATTCGACAAGGCCCAAAGGTCATCCCCGGAAGTACAGCGACTCTTCAGACTCGGATGCTGGTGAAGCCAATCATCCCTCAGAGGCAGCTGACAGCCTTGATGACCATGCTGCGGACGGTTCGGCTGCTGAGGATGAAGGTAGTGAGTCAGATACGAATTCGGACCCAAGCCAGAGAGCTTCGAACCAGGATGCTGTCGGATCTGGCGACAATGGGAACACAGACAGGTTCCACGACGCAACCGTCAATCTTCGGCGTCATCGTGGACAAGGGCCTCTGACAACCGCGGAGTTTCTTCAGTTTGCACTGTTGGAAGCCTTAGGTGGCGACATCCCGGGTGCCGAAGAATATTTTGACAACGATCTAGATTACTCGGATATCGACGAGGACAACCAGGGAGAAGACAGCGACGAGACTGATGAGGAGATGGATGACGCTGAGGATCGTTCCTCCGATAGCGATGCAATTTCAGACACTGGACTGCCTGCATACTCGGGCTCGGATGGTATGTAGATCAGGTTCTTTCCATTCCGTAACAGCGGGCATCATGGGCATGCTGACAAACGTTGCTACTGATTCCAGCTCTCTTTCGATTTTATTTCCCAATTCTTCATTTTTCGCAGACAGACATCCGTCTGCTTCCTCACCCTCTAGCGCCACAACCCAGTGTTGTATGTGGAGCGCCGCTTCGACAGGTTTTTACCAGACCGATAGTCTCCATACGGGCGTGTGATCGATTTAATATGGTCAAATGCATTCCCGAGCACGGCATAGTCGTCGCGGCATCCCAGAAAGGTCGTGCGGCCGTGATAGCTCTCACGCAATCAGAAGAAACCGGTCTATCATTTAGAGTCGATTGGATAGTCCCATTCGAGAATCAGGAAAAGTTCGGCGAGCGTCCGTTAGTGCCCCTGTTAGGCATGAGCGTCGGCCCCATTCAGGGTTTTGAGATGCCTCCCGATGTGCCTTATATCCCTCGCGACGTGGATGACGGCAAAGAATTGCATTTCCGATTTAAAGATGTGAATCACGACAGGAGCAATACCTCCACTTCATCCTCCAATATCAAGGGTGATTCGAGAAAGATATACGCTCCGACGTTTCCTTCAGGGCCCGGGCTGAGACAATCTCCGACAGAGCGTGAACAACAATACCCATCCACGCTGCCTGAGTGCCACGCTAGAGCGACCCGGGCCTATCAGCCAGAGGAGCATTGGCGAGGCTGGAATCCCTCGCGTCGATATCGGCTGCTGTTGATGTACGATGATCATACCGTAATGAGCTACGAGTTCTGGTACGACTGGAAGAAGAAGTTCGTATCCGAGGAAGAGGATGGAACAGACCAAGACGAAGTGCTCATCGTCTGAGCGCCATTCAATCTGCACAAGTTCTTTTATAAGCCAATTCATTCTGTACAAGAAACCATCTGACATACACACAAAATCCCTCTACCTATTCATGAATGTACAAAGGCAAATCAGCAAATACCTTTTATTATCATTTCCTTAAGGCATAGTTCAGATGACATGGTCAAAATGTATAAACATTAGCACCCAATGCAGCTTGGTTTCAATGTACAGCAAATATTCCAGCACCTACTTAACTATAGGGGTTTGGAATATCTAGCCTCTGTACATCCTTCAACCAGTAAAGCCAACCCCACATCCCAAATATCGACTCTCATTTGAAGAACATCTGTCCGCCGTCAGTCATCCAGCGTCAGCATAATGATGATGGCTCAGATATCAAGGGCTATGCAAACACTTGGGGTCAGAGGATCCGAGGCAGTCCGTTAATGGCTTGAGGTCATGGCATGGTTTGAAGGATCATGGTTGACACACATGTCCGTGCTCACATGTCTTCAAATGATCGTGTGAAAACATCTGACAGGATGACAGAAGTCGTGGTAGTGACGGCCCACTCTGAGTTAGGAATCTACTGGATTCCTGATCGTTATATCCACCCCTTCCTCTGTCTCTGGAGCTCCGCAGTACCTTGATAGCGGAAGTATCCTCCTATAGGGGCTATGACAGCTAAAATAGACGCCCAACATCCTTCAGGATCGGGATACACGTCAACTCCAGGATGTTTCCGATACGTCACCGCTCCACCATTCCATTCATCGTATACGAGACCCATACAACCCGCCTCAGGATCTCTATTTACAGAAATATCCAGTGGCTGAGCACCAGTGCGGGCACAATGCAGATCTATCCCGTTACATCCGACATGATGCGATGGCTAAGGTGTACATAGTACAAACCGACCTCCTAGATTTGTGAATGCTGATTAGAGAGCTCTCTTGAGCATGTGCTGAGTAAAGGCAGGAAAGCTAAGATAAGGTGTACAGTAAGTGTACTTAGTGCCTGCAGCAGTGAGGTACGTATGTCAACAGATATTGAGATCTTTATCATCAACTGGATTACAACGCCTGTAATGTGACTTGCGTACTTACTAGAAGGATTTTCATAGGTAGGTTGATAGTGAAACTAAACATTTGTTATTTGTGACATATGTTCATGTATGGTAGATAGGGCCTTGACAGACCTTGAATTCCAGCAAGCAGGGCTGAGCCTGACAAATAGGGATTATTGCCCGCCTAGAGCGGTACGTACTCCGTATACATAGCCACTGGGCTGGATCTGATCATCGTCTCACTCTCAAATCCTTCAGGATTGGGGTTCCTTGACTTCTCTGATACCAAGGAATCCCGATATGGGATGTCTATGGCCTCTCACGGGCTCAGCTTGTAACAGATATAAACTACTTTGGTAGACACTATAGACTGATTATCTCTCAAAACTTGTGGCCATTGTATTTACTTCAACACAGGCTTCTCCAAGGATCAAATATTCATTTAATTACCATTCTTTGCCATCATGAAGTACAAGTTTGCACTTTCGTCACTCTTTCCTATAACGCTTGCCCAATATGGAGACCCAATACCAAATGATGTGCAACAGCGGCTATGTTAACTAACTAGTGGAATGACTCTAGCGAGTTGCTTGTAAAATACTCTAGGGAAGGGATGATGAGTTGGCACAGCTAACCCGCAACAGTGTGAATACAAACAATAAGCTTACTGTTGGATGCAACACAGCGGAAAAGCCAGCAGAAGCAGAATCAATACGATACGGCGCCACCATATTGGAGAGAAATGGAAATGAAGCTAAGTAATAGTGGTCATGTCATGCGTGGAAATTTTTCTTTGCTTGCGTGCTGGAGGCATCAAAGATCTCGGGACTGTCGTCAACGAAATCACACTATATAGTCTGCAAGAATTGAGCGAGCACGAGATTGAGTAGGGAAATGGAGTCCAGAGTGGAGAGGCAGTGTTGAGCACCTGTCAGCTAAATCGATGGATAGAGGACTTCACATTATTCAATCTCTTGCAATCCATAAGGCTCACCGTAGGTACCAGTCAGCAGTGGCCACCCCACAGTTGGGTAAGTACCCAGGTAGGCACAGTTTCGTGGCAACAGGTCGTATAATCGTCGGGGTATGGACGGCTGGCAACCTCGTGTTGATCTAGCGAAGATGGCCGCACTTCCTTTCGAAGAAAAGCGGCAGAAAGGGTGCATTTTGGCTGGGCTAACTTCGGCTTGGCTAGCTTGTCTGCTGTATCACTTCCAGGCTCGTCACTGTGTCCCCAAGTTTCATTGGAGGCGGAGGGGAACCTCGCGCTTCCAATGCTGAGGCTGCCATGCCCTGACTTGTTCCGTGGATTCCTAATCGCCTGTAGTGCTGACAGGCTGTCGTAGAGGATCGTTGCATGTTCTTGCCCCAGTATCACTGGAGCTCTTTGTCTCTCGGCCAACAATGCTCTGCCGTTTTACCAAAGTCCCGAAGCTGGGGTCTGACTATCGTTAGACGCAGTAAATAGGGTTGGTCAACTTGAAAAGAACTTTGACTTGGAAGCCAATAGAGGAAGAGTTATTAGTTGCTCTCATCGCCAGAAAGCTATTGGTATTGTACTGAGGGTTTGGTAAGCATGACCTAGCTGCTGACTCTTATCTGGTTTGAATGAATATGAACACTTCAAATATCCTGCCCAGACTTAAGACACACAAAAGAGCTTGCCATAACAGAACCTACTCCGGTAAATGCGCAGAATGGATAACAAATAAAACTGAAGAAACTGCCCAGATGAAGAAGATTGAGGAGAAGAAACAATGGAAGTAAAAGGTTCTTAGCGATCATTGTATCACAAAGTCGCAGTGTCGCTTTGCATCAAGGACTGAGGGGCCTGTTGAATCCGCCTACACGGTTCATGTACTGTCTGTACACAGTCTTCTTCTCTTTCCGTACACCGTAGACGTCGTTCCCAGGCACTTTGGTATTCTTTGTGCTCCTGAACCTTGTAAAACCCACGGTCTTGCGCATCAGCGCCTCCATTTCATCTTCTTCGATCGGTACTGCGGGGTCCAACTCCATCTCGTCCTTGTCTCGTCGTGACGGTGAATGTGGGACACCATTGCCATACGGACGATTATCTTTGCGATCGTCTCTGCGATCTCCCTTAGGCCCTCGAGGTGGCGGAGTTCTAGTCCTGTTCCTATTCCCATTCCGATTAGGTGAGCGGGAGCGGTCGCGGTATCTGTCTCGATATCCTTGGAGAGCATTAGGTATGAGTAACTCAAATTCATTAGTAGGATACAGCATACCTCGTCGATCGGAATGTCTTTCTCTGGTCGCGCTTATATCTCGGTCCCTTGCTCCCCGACCATCTCTATCTCGATCTGTCCTATCGCGATCGCGGTCCCGGTCCCGGTCCCGGTCACGCCGATCTCGAGACCTGCTCCTTTCTCTGCGCCTTTCAACCCGATCTCTTGAGCGTGAACGATATCTTCTGTCATCACGGGGCCCGTCACGCCGCCGATCGTCCTTCTGATGTGCGTCACGCCGAGGGCTTCTGCCAATATCTGAGTCCGGCTCAGGGGAGCGCGTTTTCCGTTCGTCTAAGTCCCACATTGTCGAGCTATCGACCCGTCTTGCTCTTTTCGCGGGGGGCTCTGCCATTTTTCAACTCCGCGCTGTTGCGGAGATCGTGATCGTAATGGTCGATAAGGGAGGCGTGCTTCTTTCGACGCTCGAGAGTAAGGCGATATTCGGCGACTGGTGAGGGTATTATTATAGAAATCACGGAAGACTCATGGCTTGTCTAAAAAAAAGGGGTATCAATTCGTCGAAAAATGGGGTTTGCCGTGTTCTTTTGCTGAAACAATATTTGGTGCAGTCGAAACGGAGAACGCGAAGTTAATACGGTTGCCGATTTCTACCCGATGCGCCACTAAGCCAATTCAACCCGTCGACTTTCAACAATCTTTTACAATCTTCAGTCGCATCCGTTTTCTCGTCATCTTTCAAGACCAACCTTAAAAGAAGATGAGGACAGTGATACTGAAGGGCTCAGTGTCTTTAAGCACGGAGTAGCTAGCTTTCGTCTACGCTGCTGATTTCTTCCGGTTTCACGAGCAGTAGCTCCTTTTTGCAGTTCTATTTTCGACATATTGACTCCTTTCCCAAAAATAGCATATTCATGGGATCGTCAAACTGATTACCATCATTTTTTTTATATGTCATCCGTTACAAACCAGACACAGCAGAAAACAACGACATAAATGGATACTGTGGTCTTCAATAGTTTGGTGGCTATCTCAAACTATCGCTGAGCTGAATCCGAACTTCCAGCGCTGAAGCGCACTTTCATCAGATAAGGATAGCCCCATATCCTGGTTTTTTATGAAAGCGAGACTATGTCCTCCGTTGATTTGATAATAATTGGCGGAAGCTCAGAGAGACATCGAAGGCCCACATACATCTTCTAATACCTAAGGTCTCACATATCCGTGCAATATACCAAATACCGCTTGAATGATGAGGAGCGAAAGTCTAGGAGCACATCAGACTGAATAGAGGGACGGATGTGTGAGAATGCCGTACCTGTAGTGAGGTAGCCTCCAGAGAATCTCAGCCAAGTATTCAAAAGTAGCTTTCAGGATTTCTTAGTTCTTAATCGGCAACCCCCAGGTTAAATACTAGAAAATCCTCATTCTTCTATACCTTATCTGACTACAAGGGTACCTTGCGCCTTTCTCTAGTGAGAGATGAAGGACTAACTCGCTTTGGTGCCTCAGGCAGTCAGGTGCCCAGTAATCTGCGAATTCGATGCAGCCTGACGGCCCGTCCCGCTGAGCCTCAGTCTAACTGCGAAAAGTAGTAGTCGCAAAGAACTGCCCAAGAATATTCTGGTGTCGGTGATTCAATAATTTCTCCGATCCCTCGAAACAGACCCCGCGCCGCGAACCTTTTCATCGTCGACAAAGGCTCGCACGACGTTTGTAGCCTACAAAATGGCTCCTTCAAATTTATCTCATCGTCAGACACATAATCTACTTCTAATCTCGAAACTTCTAAGCCTCAGAGACACAGCTTCCCCACTCACATTGTTGTTGGACTCTCTAGAACAACCAGCAACGCCATTGATTCACGAGTATATTCGACGTGCAAGAGTGAGTAATTTAACCCATGAGCAAAAGCTACATTTTGATCATGCATGCCGGCTATGATCATTGCTATCATGATCTATTTTTATGCTGATTTATCGTGCTAACGGCCCCTGGGAAGCTTTCAAAAGTTCACGTAACGCTCGTAGCTTTCGAGACATTGAGGTCTTTCGAAGGTGTTGATGCATTCATCTCAGCTCGGAAGAAGCATCCTTCGGAAATTGTAAAGGAAGTAGGCGCTGCTTACCAGCCTGCTTCTAATGTTCCCTCGCGCCGTGAGTGAAATATTCGGACCGATTTCTGCCCGATTATGCTTACGCCTTTGCCCCCTGGTTATAGGTCGATTAATTCTCATTGATTCTATCAATCCACTCTTGCGCTCTAAAAAGACCGATTCCCAGTTTCATTTGCCAGCTTTTCTCGGCTCGTTCATTGCACCTCCCGGGTCATCTCTTGCCAAAGTTGAGACCTCACTTATCGTGACCTTCCACCAGGACGTCCCGACCCCCTTATGTGGAACACCCTACTCTCCATCCTCGTTTTCTGTGCTTAGCTATCTCGCAACGACCGTCATCAAGCTGCACTCTTTCTCACACATACTTGCCCAGAAAGCTGCCCGTGATCGCAGTCTGGCAGCGCCTGTCTTTGGACTCGAAGAAGAGCTGAATGGAGTCCTTCTCGGCCGACTGGACAAACCAACAGGAAAAGAATCCGTGGTAGGTATCGTGTTAGAAATGGAGCATCGCCGTAAAAGTGGACGCGGCGTTTTGGAGTGGTATGTACTACCACCAGCAGCGCGCTATCCATCCAATTACGCAAAGGAAATTGTAATTCTACTGGACGATCACCCGCTGTATCGCCCACCGATGGAGCCAGACATTGGAATGGAGAGCAGCGAACCAGAGTCGACTTTTGAGTTACGTCTCACTGAACGGCAAAGAAGGGAGAGAGAAGGAGTTGTGTTGCCTTACTTTGATGCGCAGCAAGGTGACGGTCCCGGAGAAGGCGGACGCATTCTCTATGATATGGGTGAAGAGGATGATTTTGACGAAGAAGAGGACGAATTATAACCTTTGACCCAGCTGGTCACAGCGCCTTCGCAAACCGTCTACATGACTTCGTCTCATCCTTCATATGCAGACTCTCTTCTGGTTGCCGCCAGCAGTGAAGTACCTGCTTCTCTGTGTCTTGCAATAGCAAGTGTGAGGCTTTGGCTTGGAGATTATGTGTTTATCAAACTGAGGAGGCCAAGTATGAGTGGCAGGATGTCCTGCATCCATGAGGAAACATTAAGGTACATTGAAGACAGGGGGTTTAAACACCCTAAGCGCTCGGGAGAGGAAACAGATCAGAAGAACCGAAGCCAGATTAGGAAGAGCAGGAGGAAGCCAACACCCGCAAATGGCCCATACTATGATAAGTTAGAAGGGCATTTCCGGAAATCTTCCTGTGGTTGGGTGTCGAGACAACTTACCTGCTTGATCAATAGCTCCCAGTTGATGCGAACTGCGGCTTTCTTATACCTCTTACTGTCCTCCCGCAGACGCCCCGATAGCTCGCCCATGCGTTCCAAACTATCACCTCTATACAAAAGGTCCTCGATATTCTTGGTCATTACCTTGGTCACATCACGAAGCTCGTCATTTAACCGGTCGAGGTTTTGCGATGCACGGCTATCCTGATAAATCTTCTTGGTGCGTTGAATGAAAGTGTCGAACTCCACAAAAGCATATGGTCGCAGAGTCGGAGAATGATATTGTGACGGGGAGTATGTGGTGGTGAATTCCGTTGCTAGGTCCTCGAGATAGGTGAAGGCAAGCTTCCGGGGGTACGAACGGTCGCAAATACACAGAAAGCAGATGTCGTCTTTGATGAGATAGCTAAATTCGGAATAAGTTAGGTTTCTATGGGTTCTGCATATGAAGACCGTGCGTACTGTAAATTATACTGGCCGCATTCAATACTGGCTTGTGGTGCAGAATTGCGGCTCAACCGGCGAAATATCATTTTGGCTTGAGACTTAATCTCGGAAAGCTCCGCTTCTGCCTGGATAGAGATTCGGTTAGCTCTTCTCTTAGGAAGATGCAGTGAATGAGTCGTCAAACTCACTTGTTCATCATCCACCGACGCTGCTAGCATTAGGCCTTCCTCTTAACGTCAGTGACTGCTCCGTTTCAACACTACAGTGTGCTGTATCTTACCATCTAGCCTTGCAATCTGAGTTGATTTGACCATTATGAGAGCAACTGCAACCTTATCTACCGTCTAAAGTGTGCGCAGACCTTCAGAAGACAGCTGTCAGAACACATTAACACCGTGATCCCCTTGGTGTTGTCCTCAACAATGGCCCGCAAGCGCAAGGCGGTCGAGAGCGGCAGTACGCGGAAACAACCGAAGACGTAAGTGATGCCATCTAGTAACACATAGCGGACTGCGAAAGCTGAGATATATGCTTCCCTTCGCGGCTCGTATCTTTTACGTGGTTCCTAAGTGCAGACTTCTAACGATCATGATTCAGAACCCGCTCGACGCGCTCTGCTGATGTAGCAGGCATCGATGACGCTGGCGCGTCCGGCTCCGCAATGTCTACAAACACCAAACCGAAGCGAAATCCCCGGAGAACGGCAAAGGATCGGTGGGAGGAGGAAAAGTTGATGACCAGTACCACTTCGCAACTGATTGATATAGACCTTGTGGTATGTCGTGCCTGAGAGGATTATGTGCGCTGCCGGAGAACGTGACCGGAGAACGTGACCGGAAAGCTGATTGAGGTTGTTCTGATCTAGAAACTCCTCGCGCGGCCCGAGGCATGGGACTGCCTTGAAGAAAGCGAGAAAGAGGAGATCCTGAGTCTTCTTCCTGAGAGTTTACACCCAAACCGCGAGTCCACGTCCGACGATCCGGAAGCGAAGATACCCCCTTTACCTGAGTCTTTCCTGCGCTATTCGAACTTCTGGCGAGATAGCATTCGTCTGTTTCAGCTAGATCTCCAACATGGCCGTTATGACCCTGAATGGCAACGCCAAGCTCATGAGGCTGTGCGCGAAAGGGAAAAGGGGAAATTTGATCGATTTAAAGAGGAGGAATTTGAAGAGTTTTGGGGCCAAAAGCAGAAAATGGACAAAACTCTTGCCGCTGGACAGAGTTCCCAAGTGAAGTTGACTACGCTCATTGAGCATGGAGTCGTGCGCGAAGGCGATGTCTGGAAGTATTCGCGAACCTTTGCTGGCAAAGGGCGAGATAAGATCTTAGTCGAAAAGGAGGCAAAAGTAAGTGCATGCGCTCTTCTCTCGTTTGCTAAATACCCTCTGAGCTAACCGATACTCATGGCTAGCTTCTGAAGATTAAAGGGAAGCGATTGACTTTTGCGATCCCTTCAGGCCAACGGGTCTTCCTGCCTGCCAGTCAAACTCCAGTCCGGCAGCATTCTACGGCAAGTCCTGAGACCAAGGACGAGATTCCCAAAACCGAGGTCTCCGCGAACGGAGCTGCAAAGGAAAACGAAGAAGCACAGGGGGACACGGATAACACAAGAAAGTCCGGATCCTCCAGAAAGCGGAAATCTGAAGTCGAGCACGATAGTCGCAAAAAGCGTCAACAGGAACCTATATCTTCTGAGGATGACTCGCAGAATTGTGAGCCAGATGACGATGTTGTCCTTGTAGCCAATCCTAAAAGCTTGGCAGTGGAGGTCACCAATCCTCGAGCAGAGGCGGATTCATTCTTACCTACAGGGACACTCGACGTTGTCTCAACTAACAGCACAGAAGCAGAAAGTGCTGCCGCAGCAGCAACTGAAGTCCTCCAAGGTAACGTCACTTCTGGTCTAGCGAAGGACGAGGAGTCATCCTCAACCAACGTGGCCGGTGATTCGGATCAGACCTCGGAAATCATTTTAGAGAATATCGGGGGTCCAAACGCCCTCGCTCTGAAAATCCTGGAAGTCGATGGGCGTATCAAGGACGTTCCTAACGGGAATGCTTGGAAGGAATTTCGATCTTACCGAAACAACCAGGACATGGGGAGTTTATGGGAAGTCAGACAGGCTTGGTACCTTAGAGGGATATAAAATCTTTTCTTCAATGTATCTGGGAGAGATTTGTGCTGGCTACGAGTTGAAACGCGAGCATTAACGGTCATTTCCTCATAATTGTCCTCGGCCAGGTGTTCTCTTCTTCAATCTTACGTGGAGCCCTTAAGAGCTACTTTTTACCGAATGGAATAGCAGTTGGAGTCTCGAAGAAAGCGCTTTAGCAAGATTTGCGAGTCCGCGATTCAAACGTCAAACTGTTTCATTGTGGTTTGCCCCCAGGACCATATTATCTTCCTTGGACGGACCGGGACCACCATCGGCAGCGTAATCGACGGCGAAGCTTGCTTGGATGAAATCCTCCATTTCTTCGCTGACGGTTTTGAGCTTCTCTTTGACGCTTGCAACACCTTCCTGTCCCACTATGTGACGTGAAGGCGGGTTCTCATGACCAGCGATGGCTGTGATAGCGTACACAGTCTCTTCAACCAAGACTTCCATATGTGCGGAACTTAGGGGTGGATACATGGAGAAAACTCTGGGGGCGGAAAAGGGCCCTTCTTCAGCAGAGCTGACTTGATTTGAGTTTTGGGAGCCGTTCTCCGTGCCCTGAGTCTGTTGGTGGGGTAGACGAGGAACCAGTCTGTTCAATATACCACGAAACAAAGGGGCATGATTGACGGCTGGCGAGTACTCTGGAACTATGGGAGGCACACTGGTAATCAAATTTGTCAGGATACCTATTTCGATGCTGCATTGGAAGATTGTGAGCTTCACGTTGAATGGAGCGATTTCGTATGCAAGGCTCTAAATAATGAGACTTCTTAGCTAATGTATAGGAAATGTGCATTCTGCCAACAACTTACATCGCAAAATCCCTCCAGGGCCCAGCCAGCGGCGGAGTACATCCCAAGGCCGGGTGTACCGATGTGGGCAGCTACTCCAGATTAGAGTCGCATAGGAGCAATAGGGGCAAGGGATATCATACTAATGCTAGAAAGAATCATAATATGACCGGATTTTTGCTTCCTCATGTGAGGCAGCGTTGCTTTGATGATGTTCAGAGGACCGAAGTAATTGGTTTCAAACTGGTCCTTGACCAAGTTCAAGGTTTGCTGAGAAGCCGCAAGCTCTTCTACCGCGCCGACAAGAGCTTCTGGCGTGTCAGCACATAAACCAGAACTCGGGAAACAGTAGAATAGATTCCTTACTCTGGCTAGTACAGCAAAGTAGGATGTCTACCTTGCCGAATGCTGCGACTGCCTCGGCGACCAAGGCTTGACATTGCCCTATCATCCTACATGTGGAAGGTGAGCTCTGATCAGTAAATTTGGAGTCAAAAATGTCCGCACCTGATATCCAAAGGGACTGTCTTGAAGCGTTGCACCCATCCTTCGTCACGGTGGCTCTCAACTTCAGCCAGGAAGTCCCCGAACACCTCGCGACGGCATTCGTCCCGGTCCAAGGATGTATGTGCCAGTCCCACTAACGCATAGTCTCCGTGCTTAAGAATCTGGCGCGTAACCGATATCCCAATGGGCGAGTCTCCTGCTGTGAGAATCCATACTCGCGGTTCACTATGGGCAGGAAACTGTGGGCGGGAGTAATCGGGGGAGGGTTGATTGTCCGTCATTAGGTCGCAGCCGATAGTTCAGGCGCCAGACAAGCCCATCGCGGACGGTCGGTCCTAGAAGCCGCGACTGGATAGGAGTGCCGCCAGTGTAGATTGGCGTGAAATCTACCGCAGTATAAGCAAGAGGAGATTAATCACAATATTGATTGCATAGAATGAAGTCCGGAGACGACATCATTGACCATGGTCGCCGCCGAGCGAGAACCGCTACTAATCATGGCCTAAGGCCCGCCAAGGTGGACCGAGCTCGGTTCTCGACCGTCGGCTGTCCGTGTACTGGCTCTACCTTTTCTTCCCCCCTCCCTCCTTTTTGAGACTATCGCTCTTTTTTGTCATCGTCAATCTCTAGTCAGCAGAGCACGATGCCAGAACAGAGACAGCGCAGGGAAGAGCAGGAGTCTGGCGGCGTACGTATTCATTTGTACCAGTGCCCGCAAGCATTGATAAGCTGACATGCACTCGTGTCCTTCTAGTCCGGCCTGAAGGGTGCTCTTCAGGGTCTCGCCATTTTCATGCTGGTGCAGTTTCTGATCAGTCAATTTTTCGGAAACAAGTCACAGAATGCTGGATCCGGAGCGAAGCCTGGCGAATTGACCTCCTTCCAAGCTCGTCCGCCTCGCAGCGAAATCGCCGACTACAGTCCTATCCCCGATACAGTTGCTCCAATTTGGCCCCCAAGCAGCGCCGTTGATATCAGCATCTACGTCTCGCCTTCCATTGTCCTTCCTTCTCTCAGCTCGCTCCCGCCGGATTCTCTTGTAGTGAGTGAAAAGAACTTCACGATCGGGAATTACAGTGACACCAGGGAAATCGCGACTACCATCGAGATTCCCAAGGAAGTCCAGCAAAATGGAACGCTTTGGGCGCATTTCTATGTTGCGCTCACTGGACACCAACTCGACCCAACCGCTAAGGATTATAACACAGATAATGCTGTGCACTTCTTCCGCCCACTGAACCATTATCTTCCCAAGAAAAAGGTCAAGAAGCTCAAGAACTTGCTTGCCAGCTCAGACGATGCCGAGGAGGAGGAAGAAGACAACAGCATCCCGGATGTCTCCATTGCCTCATACTACCACCCCAATTTCACGGTATCGCTGATTCCTGATTCCGGAGTTCAGAAATACCGCCAAGTACACCCTGCTATTCGGCAGCACATGCAACTCGAAGCCACGGGCGCAAGAGATGCCTCTGGTCAGAACGGGTGGTACTATCCTATTGTGTTCTTGAATACTTTCTGGCAACTCCGAAGCCACATGACCGAGCTCAACTCTACCGTGAAGACGATGCCCTTGCGGATCACTCTGAACAATCTGTCCAACTGGAAGTTTAGCATGATGGCAAGTGTGGACGAGAATGCAAAGGCTAGCGCCCGGCAAGCCGCATTTGGAGGCTCCGTGCCTGGCGGCGGCGATGGCTCTGAGTTTGAGATGGTTAAGGAAGTCCTCCTTAACACGAACATTTGGTTGCTTGGTACAACTGGTGTGGTCACGATTCTGCACATGATCTTTGAAACTTTGGCGTTCAAGAACGACATTGTAGGTTGCTCCTTTCACTTGACCACAGTATCCAGTCGATCTAACGGCTCTCTAGTCTCACTGGCGCAAGAAGAAGGACGTTGTTGGGACCTCAGTCCGCACTATTTTGGCTAACGTATTCATGCAAACGATCATCTTCCTGTACTTGATGGATAACAGTGAAAACACCTCCTGGATGATCCTTGCCAGTCAAGGTTTCGGTATCTTACTGGAGGCGTGGAAGATCACCAAGACAGTGAATGTGCGTCTGCGTGCGCCGCCAGCGGGGTCTTTCTACTCTTTCCTTCCTTACGTTGTGGTATTCGAGGATAAGCACAAGCTTTCGGAAACTGAGAAGAAGACCAAGGAGTATGATGAAATTGCATTCCGCTGGCTCTATATCATTGCTGTGCCTCTCCTTGGTGCCTATGCAGCCTACAGCTTGATCTACAACACACACAAGTCGTGGTACTCCTACATTATCGAAACACTTGTGGGCAGCGTTTACGCATATGGCTTTTTGATGATGGTCCCCAGTCTCTATATCAACTACCGTCTGAAGGTTGGTGCCCCTCGATTCATACCCCTGTAATGAAGCTAATATTGTCAACAGTCTGTTGCTCATATGCCTGGCAAGGCCTTGACGTACAAATTTCTCAACACCTTCATCGATGATCTGTTCGCATTTACCGTCAAGATGCCATGGCTTCACCGGCTTGCCACTCTCCGAGATGATGTGATTTTCTTCATCTGGCTCTACCAGAGCTATAAGTACAAGGTTGATTACAAGCGGGTCAATGAATTTGGACAGGGAGGCGACAGCGATGAGGAGGCAGAGGAGCCGGCAGCAGCCGAATCCGAGAAGAAGTTGGAAGCGGTGTCTGAAGCGTCTGGAAGGGACAATGCTGAGAAGTCGACACGGAAGAGGAAGTAAGAATGACTCGGAATGCCTTTCTTCTGTGTGATCCGGGAGGAGCTATATACCATAACTTCTGAATGAAAGCTTAGATATAATTTGCCATGAGCAAAATCTACATTTTTTTTTCATGAGTTTTAACCTTCATCAACGGTATCTTTTAATTTCTCAGTCCCAATAACCATAGAATCCGCGTTAGTGAAGAGTAGCCCACTTGTGAGGACAAACAAATGAGACATAGTTCTTGTTTCTCGACTTCGACAACCGACTTAAAATTGGGAGCAGTAGACTACCATATGGTTGATCGCCAGATTCGGTTTAAGCTCACAATTCCCGCGACCCATAGGAATGCACGGTTGAGGATACAAAGTCACGAATCGTTGCATTGACCTGCAAGTAATTCAGACTGATTTCCAAATTCAATTATTTTTACTTGTTGGCAAGAAGACGATTGTGTCGGCACAAGGGCACTCGCATAATATCGCATTGGCGCGAAGAGACGACGGAACGCGAAGAACCACAACAGAACGTCAATGAGCGCGATACTGCCAAGAAGAAGGGAACGCGGCAGTATTTGAATTGAATCCAATCTTCATGTGAGATTCTACAATTGATGTCGTCCGATCCACAAAGTAAGATGTTAAAGCCAGGTCCCTCGAGTTGATGACCATCGCTAACAAGTCGTCAGGCCCGTCTGGCCTAGAGCCCAGGCCGAGTAGCCTGGCTGAAGCACTTGATCACCTAGAAGCCGGTCTGTTTTGCCTGTTTTTATCGTACTGTCGATTTTCGCAGGGTTTCTTGCTAAGGCTTGATTGCAGTTGCTTATGTACCCTCAAAGAAGCGATACACTGATGCTGGTCAACTGGCCAAAACAATCGCTTCGAACGCTTATGAAAGCGGCATCAGCCTGTCTGCACTGGAGCGATTGATCCACATTTTGACACGAAATAATTACCTTGATCAAGGAACAATTACTACCTTGATAAGAAATCTGTATCCGACAGACAGGATATCTTCCAAGGTTGTCACGCAGGTCGTCTGTTCCCTCGGTCCCAGCAAGAACAAGCCGAGTCCTGCTACACAGGCTTCCCTGCTGCGATGGCTCATACTCGTCTACGAATTCTGCGAGGACAGGTCGCATCTCACTAAACTTTATGCAGTGCTGTTCAATCACCTTGATATGATCAGTCTCCGCAAGCCGTTATGCCATTTGCTTTCGATCATCACAAGGCGGAAGCACGTCAAGCCCTTTAGGATACAAGCTCTTATGGAACTGGTCAATGCTGCCGGCGCGGAAGAAAAAGAACTCATCGGCTTGCTTAATGTTTTCAAGAATTATTATCCAGACATCATCGTGGGTGACCTCGGGGCTTTGAGACGGAGAGCCTTGGTCTTCAAGCATCCTGACCCCGAGTGGACTAGTCACGCAAGGCTTCTTCAAGACAGAAATTTGGAGCAAGTACAAGTGGCACAGTCGTCAAGCTTTCAAGTAGTTCATCGTGGAGCAGCGAAGAGAGGAAAAATGGAAGTGATCGTTCCTGTTCTCCAGACATCGAGGGTGTCATCCAACCGCACCTCTTTAGAAGAACTGCGGAGCATCGACCACTTGGTTGAAAAGCTCGACCGGATTGAGCTTCCAAACCAGATTATATCCGCAATGGCAGACAGCATAGCTCAGAAGTATCTATATCTGGCTCAACCGGAGTCTGCGAGGCTCCGGTTAGATGATTGGCTGAGCAGCTTTTTTGACGAACTGTTGGAGCATGCTCAAGATGAAGAACCGGGTACGTCAGAATCTCTAGGTTACATCTTGAGTCTCATCGTGAATTATGTGCGCTATACACAGGTATGCCATCTTCGCCCCATGGATGTACCCCTGTTGACTCGCAGTTTGTTACAGGATATTCCTGCGTCAGTCCAGTCTTTTCTAAGACAATATCTCTCGACTTGGAATGGCCGTGACAACAAAGAAGAGGTTCTCAGTCTTCTTGAGTACCTTCCCATTCAGGACTTCGGTACTTTACGAGCCAACTTTCTGACTCCTCTAGAGGCTGCCATACTGGGCAGCGGACCATTCTCCATGACAGTCATTCTTGACTTTTACTCTTCACTTATTCGGCAATGGGGCGTGAAACTGAGGGCGTCACCTTCAGTCTCTGCAGAATCAAAACCGTTGGGGCGCCTAATCACACATGCGGAACTGCTGGCATTGTCAGTACTAGAGAGTCTTTCGGTGCGTTCCAATACCGACAATGAGGAACCTCGCAAACCGGCCGTCCTGTCTGTCCTTGAGTTCTACTGCGTTCTAGCCGACCTATTCTCTTACGCGTCCGTGAATGGCCAGATCCGTCTTACTATTCCTCTAGCTCCGACAGTCTACACTCTCGTTTTCACACCGATTCTCTCAAGCATCTCTATCATTAGCTCCGTTCTTGCCAGCTACAAAATGTCCTTCGAAACATCTCTGACTTCCGAAATTCTTCAAGTACCAAACTCTACAGATTCGCTGTATCCGACTGAATTGGTGGGCCAATTCAACGGCTACGTCATGGATGTCTGCAATCTGGTTTGGCGAAATCGAGGGCTCAATGGCGACGATCCAAACGCACTCGGCTGTCTCCTACCAGCCGCTACGACGAGTGCGCTCACACAATACACTCGGGAATTGAACGAGGCATCCCGAGACAGGAAACGCGATTCTTCGTTTTTCTTCAACCTATCTTCCATTTTCTCTCTCAGTTACCATGTAGCCCTGTGCAACATGTCAGCCGGTTGCTTCACTGGCATAGAGGAAGAGAACAACATCACCGAGGGCAAGCCCAGATTGAGGAAACCCGTGACCCAGAAAGCACTGAGTGCACTTGAGAAAGACGGTGGTATCAAATTGACTTGGCAGGAGTACAGGGTGCGCATGCTTGACTGGCTAGACGCCACAGGAAGCCGTGGAATTGGGAACTTGATGCGCAGTACGATGAAAGCTTTACGTAAGGAATGATGTTAGTGTTGTCCAATATTCAGAGCACTTGGAAGCCTTAGTTGGATTTCAGATACTCTCTATTGGATTTTGCTCTGGTAATACCGTAAAGCGGTCGATCTCAATCAAAGCGGCCCAGATTGACGATCAAAGATTTGATATTTATATGATACAGTAATTTCCTAAGGTATTAGGAGGATCTGTAAATCGGACGTAATGGTGTTTTCTACGTCCTATGTTCTATGTCTACAGCTGCCAGGGTATTCATGAGACTCGTTCGCTATATATACATGACAAGTCCATGTGTCGATGGGTTTCAAAATTGCGTAGATGTGTTCAGATAAATATCTTGAACACTAGAATCCTCTCGTAGAGTACTCAGGATGTCCTCAATTTCCCTGACTTGCTCATCCTCCTTCAACTCCACCATAGTGTCCTTATTCGGATCCCAGATTATGTCAAGTTCCTCGATAGCGAGTCCAGTCATTTTTGTGAGCATTTCGCCCACGCTCTTCGTTTCTGTTGGTTCTGTGAAGACCACAAGTCGGCCTTCATCATCCGTCGCTACATCAATGGCTCCCGCCTCGATGACCTGGTCTAAATAATCATCCGTATTCACGCCGTCCTTCTTCTCAAATATGATCCTGCCCTTCTTCTCGAAAAGATATGTCGTCGGAGTAACAGTACCGCCGGCATCCTTAATAGCATACCGGAGGTCTTGTAATACCCGAGCTTTTTGATCGGTCTGGCATTCGATAACCGCCGCAACAGAATGGGGTAAGATAGCTTCAATCGTTACCGACTCCAGGGCCTCGCCAGTTACACTTATTCCCTGGCCTCTGGCAAGAGCTGCTTCAATCACGGTCTTCGGTATACCGGCACGTTTTGCATTAGAGAGCGCAAGAGTCAGTCGGGGGTTGAACTTGGGATCAGCTCCCCACACTGGAAAAAACGTTAGCATGCGCTGGCCTCGGGGGAACTCGGCGTCAAACACGCACTCTGCGTAGCGCTGCTAATTTCCTTTGCGATTGTTTGACGCTCTCTGCTTTTGGCCTTGTCATTCTTCGCCTTGTCATGCTTGATCTGTGACCATCGATTGTGACCCGCGAACAACGGGGCGCCGCTAGAGAAACTCCGACATATCTCGCATACCGATTGCCCTGTCCGGCGACGTTGCTGTAATAACAATCTTTGGCTCACTATCGATGCCATTGAGAAACAGACTGTGTCACTTTCTGCAGCTGCAGAATCATATAAAACTTGCCATTCAGGAACGGCGCAAGTATACATGCGCAGACGGACCGACATTCTTCCGGCAGCCGGCGATAGGGCCAACTGCCCGATTAAGGGGACCACGACGCAATCAACTGGGAACATAGTTGGGGCTGATTCAGTCATATACTAATTTTCAAATTTTGCCTTCCTTTGTTGTTATTTGTTATATGGTTAATGGGTAATGCCTGACAGAGTCAGCCGGATTCAATGTCTTCTTCTGAAAACGCAACAACAGCTACACCTCCCGACAATGCGGCCCCTCGTGCGGAGCTGGACATCACCAAGCTCCATGCGCTTCCCTCCGAACAGCAGGACCTCTACCTTCTCACCTTCACTTCGGACTTGGTACAATATATCTCGGATCTAGATTCGACTAGCGTATCATCGCAACAGAAGTTCTTGAAGAAGGAACTATTCAAGATCTTGACCCTCTCCTCGCCAACGATCACTCGTGTTATCCGCAACAACCTTGGTCGCTCTTTTGGCGCTATACTCGGCAAAGGGGATCGGGGGATACTCTTTGAAACAGTAACCGACCTACTTGGTATACTGAATGCAGGCAAAAATGAGGCGGAGCTCAAAACGAAGTTCGCCGCGGCTCACTGTTTGGGGGAGGTCTTCGCGGTCGCCGGAGAGAGCGTGTTTGCGCAATCAGGAATTGTGGTATCGGGCTTGCTCAAACTGTTGAAGTCTTCCAGCAACCATACAGGGCTTCGAGGATCAACTTTTGCGACCTTGCGCAAGGTTGTCGTGGGCACTGGAGTTCCCGTGGACGAAGCAACAGCGCGGGATATCTGGAAACAGGCTCGCAATGCCGCAACCAGTGACAAGTCCACTTTTGTCCAGGTCCACGCGTGCCGCTGTCTCGAGCAGTTGGTGAAAACGACACCTTTCTTCGATAATGCGAATGACTTTGATCATTTGAAGACTCTGATCTGGAAAGTCATTGACAGCAATGTTGCGCCTGTCAGACACGCTGCTGCGGCTTGTCTGGCGCAAGCCTTGGTGAAATTGCACGCCTCAGATGCACGAGTCACAGCCGTTCCCAAGCCTAAGAAGATGAAGAGACAGTCTAAAAAGCCCGCGCCTAGACCCGGAGAGGACGAAGATGAGGCTGAAGTTTCCGAATCCTCTGTTTCCAAAAAGGCAGAGCCTGGTTTATACTTCCTCCTGCCGGATCTTCTTCGCCAACTTTCCACTCAATATATGAAAAGTACAACGTCCAATCGCGCACGAGCCGGTGTTGCTGCATGTTACAAATATGTTCTGCGCAACCTAGGCGACAAGCTTGTCGAAGAGCGCTACGGGCAGATTGCGAATCATCTCCTCTTTGAACTTCTGAACCATCCAACAGTAACATATAACCGATTCCGACTCCTAATGACCCGGAGATTTGTTAAAGGAATTCTGGAGGAGACGGTTGGACGGGAAACTCTGCGCGAGAATAGCCAGCTCAATGCTGCTAAGTGGTTAATCAACGAAATTCTTAAGGACTATCCTCAGGTCCTCCAAGAACGCCGCGAGCCCAGCAAATACACACTTGCCAGCACTCTGAGTGCATTGTCTTCATTGATATCGTCATTAGGTTCTGCATTCGGCTCTATGGCAGAAGCTTGTCGCGAGGCACTGCTCCAAGTCCTCCCTCATCCCAGCTACACTGTTCAAATCCATGCTGCGCACTGCTTAAGGAACTTTGTTCTTGCTTGCCCACATCAGCTCATATCATGTGTGACCATCTGCTTGAACAGTCTGAGCAGAGAGATTGGGCAGCTTTCTACGCCCCGGCAGGCGCCCCGGCGCTGTGTTGGATACGCCAACGGACTGTCAGCAATGTTGAGTACTTCTCGACTGCAACCGCTCTACGGCTCTGTTGATGTCTTCTCCCGCGTTTTCACTCAGGCGACTGATCTGCTGAAGACTAGCGGCAAATCAGAGCTTCGGGCAGCGAGTACACAGGTGCAGGTGGCATGGATTTTGATCGGAGGTCTGATGCCCCTTGGACCAAGTTTCGTTAAAATTCATCTGTCCCAGCTGATGTTACTTTGGAAAAATGCGCTACCCAAGCATCTTGGAAAGGAAAATATTGGTCAACGTGGGTCTCTAGAGATGAGTTTCCTTGCACATGTACGGGAATGTGCTTTGGGTTCCCTGTTGGTATTCATGGAGTTCAACAGTAAATTGATCACAGCGGATGGTGCGAGAAGAATCGCTGCTATGCTACAAAATACGGTAGAATTTCTCGATGATCTTCCGCGGCAGAAGTCTGTTGCAGATCTTTCGCAACGCCTTCAACCTTCATTGCAATTGCATGATCTGGCCACAATGGTCCGGCGACGGGTTCTGCAGTGCTTTTCTAAGCTTATTGACGTTCATCCTCTCAGTCACGCAGATGTCATCTCCCAGACTACCCTGTTGAGTCTTTCCATCTCCTCCTTTGCCGACCCAGACTACACGCAACCTGCTCCGCTAGAAAGTTCGATAGCGGCTGCAACCGCTCAGTTTGAGACTCTTTGGGACCTCTGCGATAATTTTGGATTTGGTGTCACTGGCCTAGCCAGACAATATATCCGTGCGACCCTCTCAGGCAAACAGGACAACGACAATGGTCCTGCTTGGTCAGCTGTCGATTCAGCAGACCAAGATATTGACGACGCAGTGAGTCTTTCCTCCACCAGTACGCATGCGCAATCAACTAACAATAGCAGTTGACTTTCCCTATCTGTCAAGCTAGCGAACATGATTCTCTTCTTTTATACTCTTCGAGGAGTGAAAGAGACAGTGTTTTGGCTGACCCGCATGCCACCGGGGTCGTCAATGCTGCAATTGAACTATTCGCTGTTGCTATTCGCTTGTACGCCCCTAAGGTACAGGAAAGTACTATGGAACAGATCGCAACGTTCCTGTCATCCCAGAGTCTTCAGCGCAATCCTGGCCGCAAGGCTGCAATGATCGTCAACATTGCGGTAGCATTACTTCATGCGCTGAAATTCACTGCCAAGGACAGTAGCTCAGCATCCGGCAGGCTCAATCCTGTTACTGAGAAAGTACTGCAGGAGCTGTTGCAGGTAAGACATGCTGAGGACCTCCGTTCACCTATTCTCTAGCTGACAACCGTAGAAATTCGTCATTGACGCGGATCCAATTGTCCGAACAATAGGTGCTGAAGCACTTGGACGACTCTGTGACAGTGCTGAGAACACACTTATGACTACACAGGTCAATTGGTTGGTCGATACTATTGTCGATAACCGGGAGCCTAATGCACGCGCGGGCTGTGCAGCAGCCTTGGGATGCATTCACGCACAAGTAGGCGGTATGGCAGCTGGCCTGCACCTCAAGACAATCGTTGGCGTCCTAATGTCACTTTGCAATGATCCCCACCCTGTCGTTCACTTCTGGGCCCTTGGAGGTTTAGAAAGAGTAGCAAATTCCGCAGGCTTGACTTTTTCACCGTTTGTTTCCAGCGCGCTGGGGATGCTTGCTCAGCTATACAACGCCGATACTCACAATGAAGAGGCTGCAAGCTTGGCAACATCAAACATCGAAATGACCTTCCTTACTCCGGTTGTAATAAGTCGTTGCGTCGATTCACTGATCAATGTCCTCGGCCCTGATCTTCAAGACATCACAAAAACACGAAACCTGATTCTGACACTCCTCCGGCAATTTCAACTAGAGGACAATCCGGCTCTGGTCACTGAGAGCTCCAAGTGCTTAGATCACATGTCACTGTACGCGCCGGGATT